CTGTATGCCGTTACAATAAAGATCTCAAATATACATAAAACAGCAGCAATATGTTGTCAGTATTAAATAGCCAGTACTCCGACTAAATCCGTCCGTTTTAGCAACCTTTTACCATTAACAAATTAATTATTTAATGTCAATCGTTAACCTGACAAACCGCCTCGCTTTTCATGTCTGTCACATGTGCTCAGTGTGAACCTGCCGTCATCTGTGAAGAGAACAGGGAACCAATGGCAGGCCTGTGAATTCTAGTGTTCGCTAGCGAATGCCAATTGAGCTGAACGGGCTGCAGGTATCGCCTCATACTACCAGTAGTGACAAGGACACTAGCAAAACACAAAACTGGAGAGCAATAAGTCAGGAAGGATAAGGAGAGAGCTACTGTCAGTGGCCTCCACCTGCAAAACCATATATCCTTCTAGGGTTGTCTGGCTGTTGCCTCTCCTCTGCACCTGTTTTTACTTTAACTTGCACTAAAACAAGTGACATTGATTCACAACCGCTTATGCTACCTAACAGGACCGACTGATATTAATAAAGTTATTGAATTTGTAACAATTATGAATAAAGAGTATTAGAACAGATCAATGATGACTTCAGCTAATAAACCACTATCATTTAATCTATGAAAAACAAAAGCATACAACAATCAGCATCGTGTTAATGTGGCTGTGTGTGTGTGTGTGTGTGTGTGTGTGTGTGTGTGTGTGTGTGTGTGTGTGTGTGTGTGTGTGAGTAGACCAACAAAGCTTAAGCCAAAGGGGTTAGAAACAAAAATAGGGATACACTCTACCTGTCGTCACCAAATTGGAGGTTAGACTTCAGGCTGTGGTTTTTAGATGTGTGGGTGCAAGTAAAGTGTGTGTGTGTGTGTGTGAGAAAGACACACAGAGCAAGATATATAAAGTCCTGATTGACGTAGTTAGATACAATGTGACTAATACTTTGTCACACAGAACTCACCAGTGAACTTGAATTCATGGTCGTGGTCCTGCATTTTGGTCATGATAAAGAAAAACATTTTAAAGCTTTCCAAGGGGTTTCCAAATGTCTAAACTCAAAGTCTGGACAGGGCTGGCACTTACGTTAGGGTGAGCTTCATGGTGGTGTACAGGTAACGTTGAGGTCACCGTCAATCCCAGTGGACGTGTAGGTGTAGTAGCCTGGTTGGTTGCTGGTGATCTGGCTGTTGATCCAGGACTGATACTGGGACACTCGGGTGTAGCCTGATGGGATATTAGGCTGGGCACAGCCCCGACCAGTAAAACTCGTGATTCCCCCCTGGATCCAGCGACCGCCCTGTTTGTTGATCAGCGGACCTCCTGAATCCCCCTTTAAGAAAAGAAACATCTTAGAGAAGGAATCTTTGCAAAATGTGAAATTGGACACAAACACAGGCGTAAAAATGATCACCTGACAGATGTCCATCCCTCCAGTAGTGAACCCGGTGCACATCTTGTTGCTGGTGATGATGCTCGGTCCAAAGGTACAGCTACACTGTCTGTTACCCACAATCGGCAGCTGCACCTCCATGAGGTTACCCGGGGATGGAAGGGGCACTGAAGAGACACAAATTCAGTTTAGTAAACAACACAAGTGGTGAAATGTGGTTTCAAATGGTTTCACACAGAATGGACAGTTTTATATACCACACAGGCTTCGTCGTCTAAGGCCATCGCTGGTGGGTTTATCCCTCACGCACACACGCAGTGCTGAACAAGCTTTAGTGCAGTTTATTGACTTGTTTACTCTGACTCCTTACTTGTTTTGTTGTCTATTTGGACTAAACGCTCAGGAATGGTCAGTTTTACATGTGACTGAATGGAAATGATGATAAAGGATGTAAATAGTGTTTTTTGCTGACTGACTCTCTCTGACTTTAATTGTCTGCATAATAGAAGTTAATGGGGGAAATAACAGAAAAGAGAAATCTTTCTGATTAATAAAGAAAGTTGTTTGTGGTCCTTTTGTTGTTCAGACCTACAATAAACACAGATTTTAACTAGACGGGGAATCATAAAAGAAATCAAATAGAAAAGTTAGCAATCATACACTTGCGTTTAATCTGTTCTCAATGTGTGTCTTTACTCTGCTATGAAACTGCAGTGTGGTGATGTATCAGATCAGTCCCATCAGCAGCAGCGTCAAATCCATAACGGATTTCCAAAGTTAATAAAGACTTCCACGAAAGGCTGTATGAATCCTCATTAATGGCTCCTTACAGATCGATCCCTGCTCCGCAGAGCACAAATAAGAGCTTTGGGGCGGTCTGTGAGATGGCGGAGCAGAACAACTTCCGGTTCAAGCGAGGAAACGACCTGAGATGCACCTAGAGAGGGCTCTGACAGCTCTGCTCTGGCGTGTTACGCCGCATGCTGTCTTGACAGCCTTTTTTGTCATGCAGCTGTTGGGAAAGATGTCAGCTGTCCTCCATGTTGGCCCTACTCCACTCACCGCTTATAAAAAATTTTAATGTAAAAATGTAAATGCTCCGTACTTGTATAGCGCCTTTCTAGTCTTTTCGACCACTCAAAGCGCTTTTAAACTACATCTGCATTCACCAGTCATACACTGAGCCTAAGTGCTCCAACGGAAACTAACAGTCACACTCATTCATACACTGGCGGAACAGCCGCCAGGGCAATTCGGGGTTCAGTATCTTGCCCAAGGACACTTCGACACGCAACCAGGGGGAGCCAGAGATTGAACCGCCAACCTTCCGATTAACGACCAACCCGCTCTACCTCCTGAGCCGCAGCCGCCCAATCTTCCCCTTGAATAAACTTATTCACAAAACTGTGTGTTTGTTAATGTCACAGACAGATTATGATGAAAGGATCTCTACAGCCAGTTAGTTACAGGAAGGTTTGGTTGCTCCCCTGGGTAAATGAGGAACTACATTTTTACATGGGAAATTCTGAAAACACAGTTGTTGTCACCATTATAGTTATACTGTCTCTGAAAATAAATGTAATCCAGGTGCTTTCTGACCCACCTCCAGTTCCAACATTGCCCCAGCCGGTGGCCCAGGAGAGAGTCCCCTTGTAGTAGGTGCTGCCTGGAGCTGCCAGACAGACGGGCTGGATGTAGGAAGTGAAAGCCACCGGTGAGGAGAGCTTCAGGAGGCAGATGTCGTTTTCCAGAATTGTGGCGTTATAGTTGGGATGAATGATGATCTGTGACACTGTCCGAGACGCTTTATTGGGGTTTGATCCCTGTAGACTCTGGAGACCCAGAGACACAACTAGAGTGCTCGTGGTTATGACTGTGCTGCAATCAGAAGTAACACAAAACAATGCAAAGACATGAAAAGAGTTTTTAAACTGAGTCCAGTGACTTCAACTAGACAGCAGAGGGTGGGTTGGGTAACATTAAAAACAGGTAGTTGATTTTAGGCAGGACCATCATTTTTATGGTGGTGACACTTGCCATGAGCGATGAGCTGTGTTGTATGACTGGCTAAAATGCAGCCAATACTCTTGCTTAAGTGAATCTTTTTCATTCATCCTGCATCTTAGAACAGTTCTTCTCAACCGTGTTGGCTGGGGACAAAAAAGTGAAGCATTGTCTGCTTACTACCCTTCATCACAAACTGAAACAACATAGATTTTGATGATGAATGATAGGATCATTCAAAGATAGTTGGAAATGTTCCCAGGGTGGGAACCACTGCCTTAGACAGGCTGTTTACCGGACTGCATGGCATGTTGTTTTTTGTCACAACCCTACCCTCGCTGCTTACCTTGCGCAGCAGTGAGCAGCAGTCATCACCCAGTCATTGTTAATAAGGGTTCCTCCACAGAAGTGGAACCCTGTAGAGGTTTGCAGACTTGCCTGCCAGGGCCAGCTGCCTGCAGAGGCCACCTGTCCTCCAACAATCTTGGTGTTGAGTGTTGGCTGACCACAAACTGAGGAGAGAGACAATAAAGACACAGAGTGAGCAAATAATAACAATAATGAAACTATTTTAATCAACAACATGTTTAAATCTTCAAAATGACAGATGGACAAGAAGTAAAACGTTAGCAGTGAAACTTTGACTTAGCAGCTAGTTGTGAGGGAGACTCACTTACTTAAAACAGCAATTCATGTGTAAATTCAATATGTGTCATGCTATATTAACATGGGATACATTTTGTGAATGCTGCGATTGACTGGCGACCTGTCCAGGGTGAACCCCGCCTTTCGCCCAATGTCAGCTGGGTTAGGCTCCAGCCCCCCCGCGACCCTGTACGCAGGATTAGCGGTTGACGATGGATGGATGGATGGACATTTTGTGAATATTTTTATTACTAAAGTCATTCAAACACAAAGATTTTTGATAAGTGACTTTAAACCCTGTCCTCTCTCAGCTAACAGACTGGTGAATCATTTCCACTAACAGAAAAGGAGTTTGCAGTTATTTTCACAATTCCCCTAGAACTCATTATGACCACGAAAGCCTTCAATGACCAAAATGTGTCAGCTGTCTTCCTCTTTTGTTACATCTTATGACCACTAGAGGTCACAGGCTAACATAAATGTAAATATTGGTTGTAATAAGCTGCATGAACATTTTTCTGGTGAGGACGGGCTGAAATGACTGTCTGTTGGTGCTGCTAATCTTATTACTACTAATACTAATGAGTTTTATGAATACTACTACTGTTATTGCTCCAGTCCCTGATGACGCCTTCATGTCACAAAAACAAGACAGTAGCAGAAGTTAAAGGGGCCCTCCACTGATTTTACACATGAAGTCAGGTTTACTCTTTATGAAGAGTCGTACTCCTGTGATCACAATTATTTAACATTATTGTTTTATAAACAACCATGATGCTGCCATGAAATTCATTATGTACAACCGTAAATGAACACTTCTCCTTTCAAATACATTCTGAAACAGAATATGAAACTGTTTGTTAGAAGAGGAAGAAAATATTTAATATTAAGCTTTCCAAGGCGAAATGTAGAGTTAAAGTTGAGTTAAAAATCAAAGTCTGGACATGGTAGGCACTTACCTTGGGCTGCTGGTGGTGGGTTGGTAGGACAGCTTATGCTGAGGTCACCGTCAGTCCCAGAGGAGGTAAAGGTGATGAAGCCTGGCTGGTTGCTGGTGATCTGGCTGTTGATCCAGGACTGATACTGGGACACTCGGGTGTAGCCTGATGGGATATTAGGCTGGGCACAGCCCTTACTACTGGTAAAAGTCACGATTCCCGCCTGGATCCAGCGACCGCCCTGCTTGCTCACCAGCGGACCTCCTCCATCCCCCTTAAAGGAGAGAAACATTTAGGAGAAGGAATCTTTGCAGAAGGTGAAATCTGACACAAACACAGGCGTAAAAATGATCACCTGACAGATGTCCTTTCCTCCAGCACTGAACCCGGTGCACATCTTGTTGTTTGTGATCAAGCTCACTCCGTAGTTACAGGTACACTCTCTGTTTCCTACAACCGGCAGCTGCACCTCCATTAGGTTCTGTGGGAAAGGAAGGGACACTGAAGAGACACAAATTCAGGTTAATAAACAAGTGTTCACATCTTTTAAAATGGTTTCACACAAAATGGGCAGTTTAATAAACACATCAGTGATCTGTGGCACACCTCAAGAGTTTCCAGGTGTTCCTCTGTGGATCAAACAGACATTCTCACTACTTGAACTTAAAGGACCATGCCAGCAGTTTTACAATATCTTAGCACATTAAAGGGACAATGAGTAACTCTATTGTTAAACCAAAGAACAGGTCCCCCACCAAACTGCAAAACACTTCCAGTACTTCAAATTAAATTTATATAACGGCAAAAACAAAAGTTATCTCATTTCACTTTTCATATAGAGCAGGTCAAGACTGTCCTCTTTATATTATTATTAACACTTGAGGCAAGAAAAGACTCTCTTTTTGGAGGTAGAGAGACCTCGAATGGAACCGTGACTCATGTTCTCGACCAGTTGGGGTTGAGAGAGAGAGAGAAAGAGAGAGAGAGAGAGAGAGAGAGAGCGTTGGATAGTGATAGAGAGGGTGAGAGGGTGATGGAACACAACGACCACATGCTGTAGAAATACATATACAGTAAAAGCGGTTGTGGTGCAGACAGGAAATGAATAATGTTATTGATCATTTTACTAATATTAATGATAATGAAATAATAGGATTATTAATAATTGTACCAGTGGCACTCGAGCAGTAACATAACTAAGGGATATTTCAGGACTTCAACTGAGCCAGCCCTAACTATAAGCTTTATCAAAGAGGAAAGTCTTAAGCCTACTCTTAAATGTGGAGATGGTGTCTGCCTCCTGAACCCAAACTGGAACCTGGTTCCACAGGAGAGGAGCTTGATAGCTGAACGCTCTGGCTCCTAGTCTACTTTGGAGACTCTAGGAACCACAAGTAACCCTGCATTCTGGGAGCGCAGTGCTCTGGTGGGGTAGTAAGGTACTATGAGCTCTTTAAGATAAGATGGTGCCTGACCATTAAGAGCTTTGTAGGTGAGAAGAAGGATTTTAAATTCTATTCTGGATTTTACAGGAAGCCAATGCAAAGAAGCTAAAACAGGAGAAATGTGATCTGTTTTCCTGGTTCCTGTCAGAACACATGCTGCAGCATTCTGGATCAGCTGAAGAGTCTTAATGGACTTTTTCGAGCAGCCTGATAATAAGGAATTGCAGTAATCCAGCCTAGAAGTAACAAATGCATGGACTAGTTTTTCTGCATCATTTTTAGACAGGATGTTCTTGATTTTTGCAATATTACACAGGTGAAAAAAGGCGGTCCTTGAAATTTGTTTAATGTGAGACTTAAACGACATGTCCTGATCAAAGATAACTCTAGAGATCTAAGATTTATGAAAAGGATATTTCACTTCATCCTTTATTCCCTGAGATTTGTTTTCATCTTTCTAAGTCAATGAAACAAAGATATTGTATTTTAATAAAGCATACTGGTGTTATACTGTATGCACTCTAACACAATGATGTGAACAATTCTTAATAAGTGCATTCATGTCATGATTTTGACGTCTACTTTCCGTTTTCCCATGTTGTTTAATTTCTCTACCAGTGGCCTGTACAATAAAGCAAGATAACTGGCTTTTCCAGGTAGCTAAAGGTGTAACTTTGTGATAACTGGGGCCTGTGCTACCCTTCGTAGAGTTCAACCTACTCAGATTTAAAAAAGTCAGGTTTCATAATAGGATTTAAGATGTAAAGGTGCAACTGCATATTAGGTCCGTTAAACAACAAAATGGAACCAGGGGAGAGCGGTAATGATTGGAGAAAAATTTCCAAAAGAATATTTTCTGAGGATAAAGTGTTGAATTTACGGGGGAGAAATAATCACAAATCTACAACAAAAAACCTGAATATCATCTGACATCCATCATAAAACTATGAGAGAACCTCTTTTTAAAACCTGTCCACCTTACCTCGTCTCGTAGTACAGGCCACTGATCTGTATCACATCTGTATCTCCCTGCCTCTGTGTGTGTGTGTGTGTTTGAGAGAGTCTCACCTCCAGATCCAACATTGCCCCAGCCGGTGGCCCAGGAGACAGTCCCCTTGTAGAAGGTGCTGCCTGTGGCTGCCAGACAGACGGGCTGAATGTAGGTGGTGAAAGTCACGGGTGAGGAGAGCTTCAGGAGGCAGATGTCGTTTTCAAAAGTTCCAGAGTTAAAGTTGGGATGAATGATGATCTGTGATACTGTCCGAGACACTTGATTGGGGTTTGATCCCTGTAGACTCTGGAGACCCAGAGACACAACCAGAGTGCTCGTGCTTACGCCTGAACTGAGGTAATCAGAAGAGAAACAAAACAGTGCTATGCTTTTTTCATGATCTCAAGTCCTAATTACATAAATTGTTCCCTTTAATTATGAATTAATACTTCAGATTGCACATGTAGTCCATGTTCTTTACATCTGTTGGTGTGGAGATCAACAGAATATAATGGATGAATATCTCTAAACCGAAAAACACCTGCAATATCAACAGGGGTTTTCCTTTACAGCAAAACCATCTTTTTACATGGCAGCAACAAACCAGCCCAAACATGAGGTTTGTCCCTGTGTCTCAGACCAAAAGCTTAAACTCTATAAACTCCAAAGGGAGACAAAGACACATGGAATCAAGAAATGTTTATCTCTGGACGGCATGATTCATTAATGGACACAACTTGTTTGCATGAGGGCAATCTCTGAACCCATCGTTCATCGACTGATGAGGATTTAGCCTCTGGGAGCAACAGACAATGTTCTGGCTCCTGGTGTGGCTAGTGTAAATCTGGGTCAACACTTCCTTTCACATGCAGCGGTCAATGGGTGCTTCTCAATTATCTTTCTTGCATCCACGTTTCCCTCACTTTCGTCTTTTCCTTGTGTCTTAGTCCTGCCCACCAGGGATGCATGGACTGACGCAATCATGTGAGGAGAGGCGGAATGAGGAAATTTGTTATTAGAGACATGAGGCATTCTTTCCTCCAAAGCGTCACTTGAAGCAACGTCCTACTCAGGTCTACTCTCTGTGGTGTCTTAACAAACACACGCACAGTTTGTGGTTAGTCTGTATGTACTGCGCAGAGGCACAGAATAATTTCTACATTTACATCATTCATTTCATTTTTTTTCCAAAGCAATTTACAATTGCTTTTTATGTCAGAGGTGGCATGCCTCTAGAGCAACTAGGGTTTAAGTGTCTTTCTCAGGGACACATTGGTGCTGCATCTGTATTTAATAATAGCTATCAAATAAAGAGGAGAGTCCATCAGTAAAAGACTTCCGCCAAGACAGCACCTCAGAGATTGCTCCTTGATGCACAAAAAAGAGCTTTGGGACGGTTGGCAAGATGGCAGAGTAGCACAACTTTCAAAAACAATACAAGATAAAAGCAAGAAAACATTCAAAAGACTATCCAACGAAGGTTAAAATCAAGGGCAACTGGACTTGGTTGAAGATTCTGGAAGACGTTTCGTCCCTCATCCAACTTTGGATGAGGGAGGAAACGTCTTCCAGTATCTTGATAGACATTCAAAAGACTAAAATACACATTTAAGATAAATATAAAATGAGTAAAATAGAATAAAATAAAAGGGATAAAATAAAGTCAAAGGCTCTCCTATAAAAATATGTTTTAAGAAGGGACTTAAAAGAGTTCACTGACTCAGCCGACCTGATTTCCTCGGGCAGGATGTTCCAGAGCCTCGGGGCCCTGACAGAAAACGCTCTGTCCCCTTTAGTTTTCAGTCGAGACTCTGGAACAGACAACAGACCTCTGCCCGAGGATCTCAAGGTACGTGCTGGTGTGTATGGGACTAAAAGTTCAGAAATATAACAAGGCGAGAGGCCATGAAGAGCTTTAAAAGTGATCAATAGAATTTTAAAGTCAATTCTAAAACACACTGGGAGCCAGTGTAATGAAGCTAAAATAGGAGTAATGTGGTCATATTTCTTTGTTCTGGTTAAAAGCCTGGCAGCTGAGTTCTGGACAGTCTGGAGTCGATCAATAGATTTTTGGGTTAAACAGGTGAAAAGGCTGTTGCAATAATCCAGGCGTGATGAGATGAAGGCGTGTAAAATGATCTCGGTGTCCTTAAAAGTTAACATAGATCGAATTTTTGCTATATTTCTAAGTTGATAAAAACATGATTGAACAAGCTTTGTGGTGTGCTGCTCGAAATTTGAATTACTATCAAACCAAACACCAAGTTTCTTTGCAACAGGCTTAATGTGATTTACTAGGGAACCAGCAGATGGCAGAATTTGTTTTGCCATCTACTGGGACCCAATGACCAGGATTTCTGTTTTGTCTGATTTCAGCTGGAAGAAATTATTTGACATCCATTTTTTAACTTCACAAAGGCAGTTTTTAAGTGAACTCAGCATTCAAGGGATCTGTGGATCTGACGGGCAAGTATATTTGTGTGTCATCAGCATAAAAATGAAAAGAAATACTTTGTTTATGGATAATATGTCCAAGGGGAAGCAGTTACAAGGAAAACAAAATGGGTCCTAAGACCGACCCCTGAGGCACACCATATTTAACTGGACAGAACGAGGAGACATACTTGTTTACAGACATGCAAAACTTCCTATTTGACAGGTAGGATGAAAACCATTCTAGGGCAGTACCAGAGATCCCCACCCAGTGCCTCAGTCTGTCTAACATGATTCGATTCAATTCAATTTTATTTATATAGCGCCAAATCACAACAACAGTTATCTCACAGCGCTTTTCATAGAAGAGCAGGTCTAGACCGTACTCTATGATGCTATTTACAGAAGCCCAACAGTTCCCACCAAGAGCAGCACTAGGCGACAGAGGCAAAGAAAAGAGGCAGGAACCTCGAGCAGAACCATGGCTCAGGGTGGGCGGCCATCTGCCTCGACCGGTTGGGGTGAAGGAGAGAGAGGGAGAGAGAGAGAGGGGGCAAGAGAGGAACAGAGAGAAAAAGAGAGGGATGGAAGGAGAGAGAGGGGAGGGAGGCAGCCTACACAATATACACACACAGAGGTACAGACAGTAAAGGTGATGTTGCTATAGACTAAATGAAAAATGGTATAGATATTTATAGTAGTGTTAATGATAACAGTCGTAATGTTATTGATTATTATAACAATAATAATAACAATAGTCGTTGCAGCAGAGGGTGTCGAGCAGGAACACAGGGGCAGCAGGTGACCCGCAACCACAGATCCAGACTCCACAGCTCCAGAGCCAGAAACACCTGCAGGAAGTGATAGGAGGAGAGAGGAGAGGGACGAGAAAGCACAAGACTACCAGAAAGGGGTTGTGTTAGTAACATGCAATAATGGGATGAGGTTGCATACAGAGGGAGAGAAAGTAGAGGAGAGAGGAGCTCAGTGCATCATGGGAAATCCCCCGGCAGTCTAGGCCTATTGCAGCATAACTAAGGGATGGTTCAGGACTCACCTGAGCCAGCCTTAACTATAAGCTTTATCAAAGAGGAAAGTCTTAAGCCTACTCTTAAATGTGGAGATGGTGTCTGCCTCCTGAACCCAAAATGGAACATGGTTCCACAGGAGAGGAGCTTGATAGCTGAACACTCTGGCTCCTAGTCTACTTTTGGAGACTCTAGGAACCACAAGTAACCCTGCATTCTGGGAGCGCAGTGCTCTGGTAGGGTAGTAAGGTCCTATGATGTTGTGATCAATAGTGTCAAAAGCAGCGCTAAGGTCCAGGAGTACCAGGACTGAGCACATGCCTTCATCAGCAGACATTAAAAGGTCATTGGTGACTTTAAGCAGGGCAGTCTCAGTGCTGTGGTACTTCCTGAAACCAGACTGAAACTTTTCAAATATTTTGTTATTTTCCAGTACAGTGAGCAGCTGTTTGGACACAATTCTTTCTAGAATCTTTGCAGTAAAAGGCAGTTTTGAAATTGGTCTAAAATTATGTGGGAGGGAGGGATCTAAAGCAGGTTTCTTTAAAAGTGGGTTCACGCAAGCCGTTTTAAAATAATCAGGGACCCAACCAGTAGATAGGGAGCTGTTGAAAACAGAGATCAAATGGGGCCCAACAGAATCCATTACTTTCAGAAAAAACTTTGTAGGTATAACATCAAGTGGGCTGGAGGACACTCTCATTTGTGATACTGTTTTTAAAAGCTCAGACAAGTCGATGGGATAAAACTGGTTAAAACTCTCTTGTTGCTGGTGAGGAACCTCTGAGTAAGAGGCCGCAGGGGTAATAGAGGCTCTGATTGACACCACCTTATTGGTAAAATAAGATAAAAACAATTCACAGTCATCATTACTTCCCGCTGAGGCACAAGGAGGGGTTGGGTTTACCAGCTGATCCACAGTCTTAAACAGAAACCTGGGATTGTGTTTATGTGTAGTAATGAGTTCAGAAAAATAGTGTGTTCTCGCATCCTTAACCATGTTATTGTAATTAATTAATAAATCCTTCAGACTGAGGTAATGGACTTGGAGACTGGATTTTTTCCATCTGCGCTCTGCTTTCCTGCATTCCCTTTTGAGGCTGCGAATGCTGTCATTTATCCAGGGTTGCTTACTAGCTTTAGACGTAGGCCTAACCTTTAGAGGAGAAATAATATTTAGTGACGACAAGCAGATATGATTGAAGTGATCGACCAGATTGTTGGTGTTGGAATCAGACAGGTGTTGGCTTTGGCTCTGAAAGAATGTGCAAAACTTTGAAACACTTTGTTCATTAAAGATGCGAGAACACACGGAGCTCGGTGAGGCGGCATGAGTAACAGGCGAATCACAGCTAAAAACAATACATCTGTGGTCAGATATGGTCATGTCCACTAATTCCACAGAGGAAATGCTGACACCCAGGGTAAAAACCAAGTCCAGTGTATGACCACGGTTATGTGTTTGCCCTTCGACATGTTGTTTGAAGTTAAAAGAAGTGGCCATATTTAAAAAGTCAGTTGCATTAACATTGTTGGGGTCATCAACATGAATATTAAAATCGCCACAAAGAACAATTCTGTCATAATTTAAAACCAGAGTAGATAAAAATTCAGGAAGTTCTGATAAAAATCCTATATATCCAAATATGATAGGTTGCAGCCCTCTAACTTTAAGAGTGAGAACTTCAAAGGAGTTAAATTCATCACAGCGTACTTGATTTTAAATTTTTCCTATACACGCTCACTAACCACCACGATCACTGACCCTCGGTTGACTAAAACAATCATATTGAGACGGACACAGTTCAGCTAGCTGGCTATAGTCATTCATTTGCACCAGGATTCAGTTAAAAGAGATTTGCAGACAAGATAAAATCATTTAAGATAAAAGTCTTACTTGACAGAGATCTCACATTGAAGAGAGCCATTTTAAATGAGTTTGTTCTGGGTGCTGGAGTTGGTGCAGTTGTCCTAATCCTTAAGAGATTACTAATATTTCTGTGTGGGATGTGCACGTTTCGGTTTACTGGTCTATGCGTGATGATGACAGGAATAGAAGTCTGTGGAACAGCGCTGGGAGCAGACCGCTTTACATGCCAGCAGGTGGAGACAGTTGTTTGTGGCAGTGAGGCAGAGATCTGTTCTGTGAGCGGTGGTGTGTCCAGGTGTGCTGCATGAATGATTAGTCATTCACGTAAGTCATGTGTGGACCGCACCACATGCTGTATGAGAGCAGCTAACATTTCTGAGCCCCGTTTGTTAGGGTGAAGTCCGTCTGTAAAAAGAGACATTCTTTGCCAGAAAATATTAAAATTATCCACATAAAACACACGATGAGTCCTGCAGGCGGACTGGAGCCAGTTGTGGAGGCCAAGGAGTCTACTGAAGGGGCCAGCACCACGACCACCTGTGGGAATGGGACCAGAGATAAAAACTGCTTTAAAAAGTTAAGAAGACGGTTAAAATCTGATTTTGTCAGCTCAGACTGCTGAAGAGCTGTGTCATTTGTTCCGACATGGACTATCACTCTTGTGATGGAGGACGGGAGCGATGGCATTAGGTCCTGGAGTTTTTTTAAAAAATGTCAGCCGTGGTGGCACCGGGGAAGCAGTGAGTGGTAGCGTTAAAGAAACGGAGGTTTCTGGTTATGGAGTCACCAATTATTAGTGTGGTTGGGGAGAAAAGAGGATGAGGAGATGCCGGTTGTGGGGATCCAGAGCAGGACTGAGCAGAATCTGCTTCAACACTGCGTGCGGACTGAGGATGGAGTGTGTGAGCTGCCGAGTGTTGTGTTGGAGTAGCAGTAACAGACCTGAGAGAAGGGCTACCCGACGGTGCAGGGTAGAGACGGCCTCCGGAGCGTCTGAGCACAGCCTCCTTCAGGATCCTACGTCGGGAAGCGGAGTTTTTTGACCGGGATGACGGCCGCCGATCAGGCCCAACGGCAGACCGGTGGCCCAGCCGATCACCGCTTGCCGCCAGTGCAGGAGATGAAGCCGGTGGAGGAGATGCAACAGTGTCGGCAGGCACTATCCGCTGAAAGGGATCCATATCAGGGAGACTCGAAGCCCCAAGTGCATACGCTGGATGGACCAGACTGTAGTCAGACAGGGCTTCATAGAGGTTGGAGAGGCCGATGTGCGGAGGAGAGGCAGCCCCGTCCGACCCTCTCTTGCAGCCGCGGACCACCACTTCAGCCCAGGTTGACTGATGCTTTTGAGTTGAGCAGTAGGAAAGCCTTGAAAGGGTAGATGGGCCCCATAGCACGGTGTCCTGGATGTTAGCGGTTGCACTAAGAGAAACAATCTCTTTGGCTTGTACTGAAGCCACATCCATAAAGCCAGTCAGCAGGGAATCTTTCTCTTTGAGTTCCTCTGAAAGTCGTTGGATGTCTTCCATAAGGTCAGCAATCTTTTTGTTCACTTTCTTAAAGAGTGTGCAGTCCTCACGGGGCAGAGTTAACTCGGCTAGCATAACGTTAGTCGCTGGAGCTTTGTTGTGATCAGTAGCGTTGATCGCGTTTTTACATCTAGCTTAAAATCCATGTCGGATGACTAAAATCCTTAACCCACATAAAACTCAAGTTAAAAAATAATTTAAAAACTCAAGTTAAATAAAAAGGATATAAAAAATGTAATAAAAAAGTCTGGATTAAAACCGCATAAGAGTCAGGTTTAAGACGGAGTTTCCGACAGGTAGCTACAGACGCCAACGCATGAGTACAGATTGCGTCAGCGATTACGTCAGCTATAAGAGACTTGAGATGCACCCCATGTTTACAGTCCGATTAGCAACTTGTGACACAAGAATGGAGTTGGAGACATCCATGACCGGATTGCTTGTAACAAGTAAATCCCTATCAGACGGTAGCCAATGGGTTCAGAGATTGTATTAGGGGCAAAGCGTTCCACCTCTTTTGCTCTCCACACAGTCTGTTAACCTACATGCAATCAAAGCCTGCTCAAACTTGATTGGTTAATAGTAGTCGGACTACAAACAGAAACCATAACACTTATGATGCCAAACTTGCCTACAGACAGAGCTACGTAGGTCAAAAATGAACTTTTTCTAGAATACCCCTCTTTAATCTTGTCCCCTGCCTCTTGGAGCAGCAGTACCCATCCTTTTTGGCTGATGACCCCTCAAAATAAATCATTGTCTGCTTGCTACACATCATCACACCTTAAAACAACACAGTAGCAGAATAATATTTTTCATCTGTCCTGTCCTGTCAATCCTCTTACGACCTCTCCAGTTTATGCTGCGACCCCCTGGAGAGATTCCTGCCCTCAAGTTGGGAACCACTACCTTAGACAGGCTGAACAGCATATGGTTTTTTGTCAATGCCCTACCCTCTCTGCTTACCTTGAGCAGCATTGAGCAGCAGTCATCACCCAGTCATTGTTAATAAGGGTTCCTCCACAGAAGTGGAACCCTGTAGAGGTTTGCAGACTGGCCTGCCAGGGCCAGCTGCCTGCAGAGGCCACCTGTCCTCCAACAATCCTGGTGTTGAGTTTTGGCTGACCACACACTAAGAAGAGATCAAGAGAGACGGGGTTCACAGCAAATACTAACAATAATGAAACTATTTTCAAATGTTCACGTCCAACAACATGTTTAAAACATCCAAATGACAAATGGACAGTGACACTTTGACTTAGCATCTAGTTGTAAGTGAGACTCACATGCTCGAAACACCAATTTATTTGTAAATATAAAATGCGTCATGCTTAATTTACATGGGAGGACTTTTGTGATCACTTTTATCACTAAACACATTCAAACTACTCATACTACTACAAGTACTGTCTATTGCTCCAGTCCCTGGTGACACCTTAATGTCACAAAAACATGACAGTAGCAGAAGTTAAAGGGGCCCTCCACTGATTTTACACATGAAGTCAGGTTTACTCTTTATGAAGAGTCGTACTCCTGTGATCACAATTATTTAACGTTATTGTTTTATAAACAACCATGGTGCTGGTATGAAATTCATTATGTACAACAGTTAGTGAACGCATCACCATTCAAATGCACTTCATTATGTAAAACAGTAAATGGACACATCTCCATTCAAATACATTCTAAAACAGAATATGAAACTGTTTGTTAGAAGAAGAAGAAAATATCTAATAAGCTTTCCAAGGCGAAATGTAAAGTTAAAAATCAAAGTCTGGACGTGGTAGGCACTTACCTTGGGCTGCTGTTGGTGGGGTGGTAGGACAGCTTATGCTGAGGTCACCGTCAGTCCCAGCGGAGGTAAAGGTGATGAAGCCTGGCTGGTTGCTGGTGATCCGGCTGTTGATCCAGGACTGATACTGGGATACCCGGGTGTAGCCTGATGGAATTTTAGGCTGGGCACAGCCCTTACTACTGGAAAAACTCACGATTCCCGCCTGGATCCAGCGACCGCCCTGCTTGCTCACCAGCGGACCTCCTCCATCCCCCTTAAAGGAGAGAAACATTTAGGAGAAGGAATCTTTGCAGAAGGTCAAATCTGACACAAACACAGGCATAAAAATGATCACCTGACAGATGTCCTTTCCTCCAGCACTGAACCCAGTGCACATCTTGTTGTTTGTGATCAAGCTCACTCCGTAGTTACAGGTACACTCTCTGTTTCCAACAATCGGCAGCTGCACCTCCATTAGGTTCTGTGGGAAAGGAAGGGACACTGAAGAGACACAAATTCAGGTTAATAAACAAGTGTTCACATCTTTTAAAATGGTTGCTACCCTTCGTAGAGTTCAACCTACTCAGATTTAACTCAGGAAAAGTCAGGCTTCATAATAGTATTTAAGATGTAAAGGTTCGACTGCATATTAGGTCCGTTAAACAATAAAATGGAGCCAGGGGAGAGCGGTAATAATCTGAGAAAAATTTCCAAAAGAATATTTTATGAGGTTAAAGTGTTAAATTTACAGGGGGGAAATAATCACAAATTTACAAGAAAAAGCCTGAATATCATCTGATAACCATCATAAAGATTCTTTTAAAAACCTGTCCACCTTAGCTTGCTAGTACAGGCCACTGATCTGTATCACATCTGTATCTCCCTGCCTCTGTGTGTGTGTGTTTGAGAGAGTCTTCCCTATCCTGAGTACCTGATGTGTGTCCCCTGGTTGTGTCCTACAACGCTTGTTTGCTCTTGTATAAATGGTTTTCAGTCCCTCTTCGGTCATTGCAGTATGTTGAGGGTTCTGCTTGTCTCTGTGCGGCTGCATTTACCAGTTTTATTTGAATTTAGTTTCTTATAACAGATTATGACCTTTGTTTTAATTTTCTATCATGCTTCCATGGAAGTCACATTATTCTGCTTTTTGCTAATAAACCTTGCAAACTGATGTCAGCTCTCCACTGTTGTGCGTTTGGGCTCAAACCTGCTTATCACTCGATGAACCCTGAGAAAACATAGTTATTGCCACTATTGTAATTAGTTTGTCTCTGAAAATAAATGTAATCCAGGTCCTTTCTGACCCACCTCCAGTTCCAACATTGCCCCAGCCGGTGGCCCAGGAGACAGTCCCCTTGTAGAAGGTGCTGCCTGTGGCTGCCAGACAGACGGGCTGAATGTAGGTGGTGAAAGTCACCGGAGAGGAGAGCTTCAGGAGGCAGATGTCGTTGTCAAAAGTTCTAGAGTTAAAGTTGGGATGAACGATGATCTGTGATACTGTCCGAGACACTTGATTGGGGTTTGATCCCTTTAGACTCTGGAGACCCAGATACACAGTCAGAGTGCTCGTGCTTACGCCTGATCTGAGGTAATCAGAAGAGAAACAAAACAGTGCAAAGACATGAAAAGCAAAACTGTGGTCAAGAGCACTTTAGCAAACAGTAAGTCCATATTACAACCACATCTAGTTTGTATGGAGATTAATAGATGTTGCAACAGGGAGATTTCATTTCCACAAGTTAGCAATTTGAATCCTAATATTATGAACAATTCCCTCATCTTAGTCATTCATGTGCTCAATAGACTTTTTTTCCTGACCTACATAAATTGTTCCCTTTAATTATGAATTAATACTTCAGATTGCACATGTAGTCCATGTTCTTTACATCTGTTGGTGTGGAGATCAACAGAATATAATGGATGAACATCTCTAAACTGAAAAACACCTGCAATATCAACATCTTTTTACATGGCAGCGACAAACCAGCCCAAACATGAGGTCTGTCCCTGTGTCTCAGACCAAAAGCTTAAACTCTATAAACTCCAAAGGGAGACAAAGACACATGGAATCAAGAAATGTCTTTATCTCTGATAATGATTCATTAATGGACACAATTTGTTTGCATGAGGGCAATCTCTGAACCCATCGTTCATCGACTGAAGAGGATTTAGCCTCTGGGAGCAACAGACAATGTTCTGGCTCCTGGTGTGGCTAGTGTAAATCTGGGTCAACACTTCCTTTCACATGCAGCGGTCAATGGGTGCTTCTCACAACTTGGCTGTTTCTGTTTATAGTCTGTATATAGATTGTGTTCTTTATACTGTAGCCTGTGTCGGATTTTTATGTTGTATCTTATTTTACAAAATGTATTATTGTATGAGTAAGCACATCGTGAGCAATGTACAATCCTGAGTCAAATTCCTCATATGTGTACACATACCTGGCAAATAAAACTGATTCTGATTCAATTCTCTTAATTGCATCCACGTTTCCCTCACTTGCAAGGAAATCATGCAAGGAGAGAAGGAACGAGGAAATTTGCTTTTAGAGAAATGTGACGTCCTTTCCTGATTTTATTCTGTTTTCATCAGATGCAGTCGTGATATCGTATGTGCAGGCTTTCTTTCCCTGTGTTTGCTTCTTCTGAGTCTTTAATGCAGTTTTGTGACTTGTTTAGTCCTTACTCGTTTAGTTTTTTTGTCGTCTATATTTGGACCACACACATGATCAACCACATGTGACTGAATGGAAATGGCGATAAATGATGTAGAAAGTGTTTCTCTCCATCTCTCTCTGACTTTAATTGTCTCTATAATAAAAATTTATGTGGGAAATTTAAGGAAAGGAAAAATCTTCATAATAAATGAAGAAGGCGAATCATAAAACAAATCACATATAAAACTTGGCAGTGATACACTTTAGTTTAATCAGGCCTATCTGTCTATCTGTATGAAATAAGATACATCAGAACTATCAAATAAAGGGACGTGTCGTCCGTCAAAGACTTCCTCCAAGGCAGCACTCGTGTATCTTCACTCATAGCTCCTCAGAGATGGCTCCTTGCTCCTCGGAGCACAAATAAGAGCTTTGGGACGGTCTGCAAGATGTCGGAGAAGAACAACTTCTGGTTCAAGCCAGGAAACAACAAATAAGAGACTTGAGATGCACCCCATGCTGACAGTTCGATTAGCAACATGTGATGCGAGAATTGAGCGGGAGACGTCTATGAACGGATTGTTTCACAGTAACCAGTTTACAAAATTAATAAAAGCCAAATAGCTGTCAGACGATAGCCAGTTTAGAGATTGCATTAGGGGAAAGGGAATCAGCTGGACTGTTTTCAGGATTTCAGAGCGGAGTTTTCTGTGGGAGATGGGAACTCCCTTTGGGGTGGGCTTTTTCACTTTGCAAACCTGTTACATGCACAAAAAAAGATTTATAACTAAATAAAGGAGAGGGAAAAAGCCAAAAAGCATAATATGACCTCTCAAAAATTAACCCTAAAATGCATCCTAAACTCTTTCTAGAATAATCCTCTTTAATTTTCTTTCCCTGCCTCTTAGAGAAGCAGTACCCATCCTTTTTGGCTAATGACCACTCAAAATGAATCATTATCTGCTGATACACATCATCAAAATTTTAAACAACACACATTTTCTCCTTGGATGGTGATATCGGTCAAATTTCAGTAGCAGAAAAACATTTGTTTTCTGTCCTCTCAGTCCTCTGAAGACCTCTCAGATTTATTTTGTGACCGCTTGGAGAGATTCCTGCCCCCAATTTAGAAACCACTGCCTGTTTATGCCACTGTATGACATGTGGTTTATTTGTCACCACCCTCTGCTTACCTTGCGCAGCACTGAGCAGCAGTCATCACCCATTGATTGTTAATGAGGGTTCCTGCACAGAAGTGGGACCCAGAGGTTCGCAGACTGGCCTGCCAGGGCCAGCTGCCTGGAGTGGCCACCTGTCCTCCAACAATCTTGGTGTTGAGTGTTGGCTTACCGCACACTGAGGAGAGAGACAAGACACAGTGGGGAAATAATTAGATAAAAGAAAGTAAAGAAGGTATTAACAACATGTTTACGTCCCAAAAACATGTTTAAAATGTTGAAAAACAGACAGGAAGTAAAAAAGTGACCGTAGAAACTTTGACTTACCACTTAGTTGTGAGTGAGACTCTGAAAACATAAAACAAACAAAATCTTTATGATACAGTAATTGTGTATTTATATTTACTGATATGTCTTGGCTATAGTTCACATAATTGGCTTAAATTAAATCCACACATATTACTTTAATTGCATGCTTACAAGAAACTCTTACTACAAGGACAGACTGAAAAGAATAAGAAAGTACATTTTTAAGGTGGCTTTAAGTTGCAGAATTATAGGTCTGTGTTAAAATAAATTCAGCGCCTTTAATTTTCAATTCAAGCACAATTCAACTTTACTAGTTAGCTTGTACTAAACTAGATTTCTGGCTTGAAAAATAAATACAAATAATACAACAATAGTGATTGTTATCCAAAGCTTTATTATTATTATTCCGTACGTTTTTTGGCCTTTGATAACTTCAGCATACTTTGTGCTACAAAAACCATTCAGCTATCATAATGTTGAGCTCTTTAAGGACATTATGTGAAATATTCAACTATTTTGTAACTTTTATACTTTTTAAGCTATTAAGCTTTTTAAGTAATTTTTTTACAATGTAAGTCAGTGGAGAATCATGTTTCAGCTGCTTCAGTTTTCAAAGCCTACTACTTCTGCATACTTTCAGCTATTTCTCTCATTTCAATTTTTTTCAAATGTTCAGAAATCTTTAAGCTATTAAAGTTGTATTCAACTTTTTCATATCTTTTATACTTTTTTCACTACAGCTGTTTTAGTTTGATGAACTCTTCAGGCTTTTTTTGAGTTTATAATGGGGAGCGGATGGGAAAATATTCAAATCCTTTTTAAGCTCCTTCAGCTTTCAAAGCCTACTTCTGCATACTTTAAGCTTTGTTTATCATTTCAATTTTAAAAATGTTGAGAAATCTTTAAGCTATTAAACTTGTATTCAACTTTTTCATATCTTTTATACTTTTTTCACTACAGCTGTTTTAGTTTGATGAACTCTTCAGGCTTTTTTTTGAGTTTATAATGGGGAGCGGATGGGGAAATATTCAAATCCTTTTTAAGCTCCTTCAGCTTTCAAAGCCTACTTCTGCATACTTTAAGCTTTGTTTATCATTTCAATTTTAAAAATGCTTAGAAATCTTTAAGCTATTAAACTTGTATTCAACTTTTTGATATCTTTTATACTTTTTCTACTATCGCGATTTTACTCTGGTAAAGAATTCAGGCTTTTTCTGAGTTTATAATGGAAGCGAATGAGACAGAATGTTGTCATCGCTTGAGGGCAGCCAGCTGGAGAACTCATCATAAAAAATCGGGCCAGAACATAGTAAAATTATTTGAAATGCTTGGATACTCGAGCGCACGTTTAGCTCAGTCGGTAGTGTGCGGGACTCCTGGGCCCTGTGTCTAGGTTCAAATTGACAGTAAGGTATCTATTTTACATTAATAACATCTCACTCATTTCGTATTTAATGAAATTATGTCCAAACACATGACCATATGCAGCTAATATTAAACTCCCTTTTAAACTACATTTCTTTGTTTCAACTGCACCACAGTCATTCTCACAAATATTCACATCATATCCAACATGATAACTACCATATGGATGGTGAACAGATCTGGATGGAGCGGGACATTTAAAAAAGGTTTGATGGGCTACAGCAAACTTTTCAAATGTTGAACTCATTGTTCTGCATAAACAGGCATGATTACTGATGACTTAGTAGCCTGCTTAAAATAAAAGTTAGAGACTTTTTAGAGCATTTTTCTTGCACAAACAACAACCCCAAAATGAAACAGCTGTAACTGGAATAATATTATAATAGTGGTAAGCTATAGCTATATACAATATTCTTTTATATGAAATTATAATGAATATAGTAACCTCCATCATGTAAATAATATTAGGGCTGCGCGATTAATCTAATTGCAATCACAATCGCGATGTCGTCACGTGCGTACATAACCACAAAATAGTGTGCAATTTAATCAGACAATAAAAGGTGTGTGACGCTTTCTTGTCTGTATGCGCTGCACTCTGCTCATTATCTCCGCCCACACCGGGTTCTCACATGTGCCTTTACAAACAGATAAGAACATTTTTTTCTGAGCAGTGTGTGTGCAACCTTTAAGACAACAACCTACCGTAACCCCCACCCCACCGCTAATTGTTCAAAACATAGTCGGACTCGTCACCGGAGCAACAAGAGATATGCCGGTGCTCCAGTCGCTCTGTGACAGAGACAGATACGTTAAATTCCTTTTAAAAACTCCACAATGTCCCTTTTAAAGGTGTGTTGCTGACATGACCAGCTTAAAGTGGCGCGTCAGTCTTAAAATATGTTGTAGAGGTCCTGAAAAAGGTCTTAAAAGGTATTGAATTTTACTTCCGTATTCCTGTATATACCCTGTACTGGAGCAAATCTGATAGGACTGTATCAGAAATAAAATGTTTTTATAGCAAGGTATTCATACTCCTGTGGTAGTGGATATTTCAGCTTTGGTTTTATACACTCCTTAACATGCCTGAACAACACATGAAATTATACAATAAGGATGTTTTAATTCTTCACACAGGCCATGGAGGCCATACATCTTACCAGCTTGGCAACTCTTCAGCTGACTCTTCATCTTCAGGGCTAAGAAGCCATGTCACTATTTACATCTCTGACTGGGTGAGATCGTATGAAGTCTGGTAGGAGAAAATGCCACTGAATTTGCGACAATGTGTCGCACAAGGCCAGTGACCCATGAAGCAGGAGCATTTAGCTATGGTGAGAACGATTATGGACTCGATCCGAGATTAATGCTTGAACCCTACTAGAAGCCACTGTTGCTTGCTGTCACATGTGCTTATAAGAGCTATACCATCACCAACCCCCACACAGCAATGATAAACTCAAAGAACAGTGGCTATTTCTTCACATGAAAAGATTTCTGTGATCACTTGAACACACTGACTGGGATGGATGTTAACACCAGAAGGAAAGAAGATTCAACACGTTTTTGAATCAGACGATTTTTATGTATAGCGTAAAATAACTAATATCACAATATGGAATGTTGTAAGATTTTCTTCAGACAAGAATCCCAAGTGAATGAATCCAACGGACTTTGGTGTGTGAAATGACATGACATGTCTCAAAAACTATTGGACTGATTTCTAGAAAACGTTATGTTTTGCAGGCATTGGGTCATAAACCAAATCCCTTTCAATCTCAGCTCACTTAATTGAACTGTGCTTGCTGTACCATCCTGCAGGTACCTTCTGTGGTCTTTATCCTGCCATCACTCTTTACATGAACACAGGTGTCTCTTTGTACTTTGAATAAGTAAATGTTTTAAAATTAAAAAGCATATTGTAAGAACAAATGTTCATGTTGTAATCCTTTTGGGTGAAATATGTGGTTTGCATTGCTGTCCTGAAATTGGACTGTAAGTTAAAAAAATGTTTTTTAAATGTGGATTTTGTTTTATGGAAGTGAAGAAAAAGTAATTGAAAACATACAGTAAATGAAAGTACTGTAAATGACAATACAGTAATACTACTGTAAATAAATGAAAAATACAATAATAATACCGTGAATGAAAATACAGTAATTATACTGTAAATGAAAATACAGTAATAATAACGTGAATGAAAATACAGTAATGATACTGTAATTTAATTTCAGTAATGGTACTGTAATTGAAATTACAGTAATGATACTGTTAATCAAATTACAGTAACTTACTGGCATCCAGCTGCCAGTAAGATGTAAAATTTACAGCAACCTTTTTACAGTGTAATTTTAGTCTTTTTTCGTCCTGTAAGTCATTGAGTTAAATTTTATTTATTAAAATATCCAGTTACAGACCACAATTCAAAATATAAAACATATAGAGTTATAAAATGCAGTAAGGCTCTCAGGCATATGAACTGCTGTCAGATATTTTTCTCCTGTAGATCAACTTTTCTCATTTAATTTCAGCCCTGCTGAGTCAGCACACATGTAGGCATGACTGAAGTAACCTTTTTAATGTGCATGTGGCACCAATGATTAATAAATTTTTTCTCCTCATGTCTAAAACATTGTGCACATCCAAAATCTCTCCCACATATCTGTTTTCTTTTTGCAGAATAACTTGGTAATATTTATAGACAAAAGGTGTAATATATAAATATATAGATATATAATATAAATAAAATCACAATCTATGAGAGTACAATCAATATTTTAACAAAACCTTCCTGCCCTGTCCTCTGCTGTGCATGAGCCTGAGTTTTTGCTCTTCTGATCCCCTTTAGACCGTCTGACAGAACCTTTTTGGGATGAGAAAAGCGCGCTTTTCTTCATCAGAGATGGCAAATCGAAACTGAAAAGACTTGTAGTCAGAAATAAATCTCACCATAAATCCACACAAATGTGAACTTCAGCACCTTTAATAGAGTACAGCTCACAGCTGCTTCAGAAGGAAGCTAACATCCCCAATTAGAGTGTATCAAAGTCTTTATTGAGAGTACAACTTTATTAATCACAAAGGTATATGCAGAAAGGAAAGGTCCTATTTCTCCAAGAACGAATGCAAATAGTGACTGTCAGGAAAAAAAGCATTTACATCACACAGCTGCTTCCTGAATTCTTTTTATAATTATCTGCTAATAGAACAATTACAGTGAAGCAGTCCTTGGAAATTAATGTATGTTATTTCACTTTATGCATCCAGGCTAACTTTTAAATCAGTCTAAACAAAGCCATGAGTTCAGTGCAAAACTATTTTTATTCCATTACATTTATCTGATTTCTATAATTACTGCTCACATGCAGATTAATCTCTTTTTAAACATGTCAAAAATACATTTGGGTAGTTTTGCCCTTTAATTTCATTTAATATTAATATAAATTTAACAGATTACATAATGACTTTTAAACCTGGACTTTTCATACTTTATTTCTCCTTCTCCTTTTTATAAATAGTATTGATGTGTATTTTGATTAAGTGCAACAGGATCCACTGAGCACTTTGGTTTAGTACATTTTATTGCTCCAATTTTGTAAAGTTTAATCTGAACGCAGGATTTGCATTTGCACGTAATTAAGTAACTTCTCTTACTTAATTAAAAGATTCTTGATCCTCTGTGCACAGTGAGGAGGGTTCTTACCTTGTGTCAGGAGAGTCAGCAGAGTTGCCACACAGATCACTTTGTAGAAAGCCATCGCTGCAAGTCCATATCATCAGAAATGCACCTGCTTTAATACCCTTCTTCTCTCCTCCCTCCCTCTCTCCCTCCCTCCCTCTCTGTCCCTCCCTCCCTCTCTGTCTACCTCCAACTCAAGCTCATCTGCCCATTGACACGCCCAACATCTTACCTATCATCTGTTTCACAAAACATCAAAAATGTCACGTGTCTGAGCAAAGTACATTTACTACAGTTCTGTTCTTAAGTATAATATTTGAGTACTTAAAAATTTCCTTTTCACCACCTGTAGTAACTAGTAATGCTTTCAGATTAAGATTTTACACTAAAACAAACCTGATAAACCTTAAAAATACAATGTGTTGTCACAGATTAAACCTTTTTGTCCTAATAATAACAATTATAGCTTTATTTGTATAGCCTTTTTCATTACAGGTAACAAAGTGCTTTTAAACTAAGGAAAACAAGTCAAACAAGTTAAAAGAAAAACTAAAGCCTTCAAGTTAACTCTGAGAAGTTAGTCTATCTGTGTTCTTAACACAACACTGTCAATGTCTGAGACCCAACTTCAAATAAGTTATAAGCAAACATGTAAGGAGTCGAGCTATTAAGGAAAGCTATCTTAATGTTAGCGCCTGCTGAGCCCCGTTAATCAGCAGAATCAAACTTTAAATCCTAATTACTAACCAGTTTGTCTGCTTTCTCTTTTGGTGGTTCTGACATGACAGGTCACGTTTCACTTTGACGCTAGAAGTGGCTGTGGCTCAGGAGATAGAGCGGGTTGGCCGTTAATCGGAAGGTCGGCTGTTCTGTTTGAGCACTTAGGCTCAGTGTATGAATGTGTATGACGGGTGAATGCAGATGTAGTGTAAAAGTGCTTTGAGTGGTCAAAAAGACTAGAAAGGCGCTATACAAGTACGGAGCATTTAAATCTTCAATGCTGGCACAGCCCCCTGGTAATCAGATGGCCCATTGGTGATCTTGAATAGCCATAATTGGACGATATGAAAAAAGAGAAGATTTCCCAACTCTAGTTGTGGAGCTAATTTAATCTTCTTCATTTCCTGTTGGGAAAAAACCCTGCACACATTCCAAATAATGAGGAATCACTCAGACAGGCTCAGGCTTCCTGTGAACTTGATTTGGAACAAGATGAACCAGGAATCATTGTCACCAAACGTCAGCTTTTATTACATGTCTCTGATTCCAGGACCATCAGCACCGGATCTCCTCAAGGCTGCATTCTTTCCCTCCCTTCTCTTCTCCCTGTACACCAACAGCTGCACCTCCAGTCACCAGTCTGTCAAGCTCCTGAAGTTTGCGGACGACACCACCCTTATTGGGCTCATCTCAGGTGGGGATGAGTCCGCCTACAGGTGGGAGATCGACCATCTGGTGACCTGGTGCAGCCAGAACAGTCTGGAGCTCAACACTCAGAAGACAGTAGAGATGGTCACAGACTTCAGGAAGAGCACAGCCCCACCATCCCCTATCATCCTGTGTGACTCCCCCGTCACCACTGTGGACTCCTTCCGCTTCCTGGGCACCATCATCTCCCAGGACCTCAAGTGGGAGCTGAACAACTCCTCCCTCACCAAGAAGGCCCAGAAGAGGATGTACTTCCTGCAGCAGCTGAAGAAGTTCAGCCTGCCAAAGACAATGATGGTGCACTTCTACACCGCCATCACTGAGTCTATCCTCACCTCCTCCATCACCATCGGGTACGCTGCTGCCACTACAAATTCCTCGTATGTGTAAAACACTACTTGGCAATAAAGCTCCTTTTGATTCTGATTCTGATTCTGGACCCTCCATTCACATCCAAAATCAACCAGCTGAGGCCCATGGAAAATCAGAGTCACTACAACGTGCTGAGGACTCTTCAAGAGTGTAGGCTGCTCGCTGCTCCTTGGTGACCAACACAAAACCACAGGAAGAGAAGAAGAGGGGGACAGTGTTGGCAAACTGTCTGAAGTAACCAGCCTTATGAGTGAGGGGTCTTTTCTGGAAAAGGGAGGCTGCAGCGGTTTTGTTTCTCTTTCGCTTTTCGATCAGAACTGTTTGAAGGGGTGAGTCTACACGTCACACTGGCTAAGCCTGCTGTATTGAAATGGAAGTATTCCACGAAGTCAGACCCGTGTATGTTGAGAATAGATGAGTGTAAAGATGGTAATGTACTCAAAAGAGTATTCACATGCACTGGTCCGGATAAAAGAATGTTGAAGTAGTTACTGGCATACATTCTTCACACCCCACTGTGAACACGGCTGACCTGTTTGAGGTGCCAAATTCAAGAGGGGCAGTTCATAAGTATGACAATGGCCTGATAAAAGATGCCACACATCTGATAGTTCACCCAAAGAAAGATTTTTGATGATTTGTTGATTTTTATATTTCCACAGTGGGTTGCATGAAAACATTGATGACCTAATGATCTGTAGTCCATCAAAAGAAGCATGCAACTTTGACACCATTGTGATGATATTTTGTCCCTACAACAGTCACAAGGCTAGTCTTTCTAAATGTTTATTTGCTCAAACACAAGTGACATATCTGGGACATGTGATCACAGCAGAGGGCAAATCTCTCACGCAAAAGGCATCCTATCTGATTTAAAACCAACAACCATACACAAAAATGGAAAAAAAGGTGATGAGCTGATGAGCTTTCTAGGAATTACGTCAGTGGCTGTGGCCTGTGACCGGGATCTGACTACCAAACAACAACGCAGCTCCGTGGCGGTCACTCGGTGCAAGTTTGAAATCAACTAATGTGAATCACTAAAGAAGATGTGAAACGCAAGCAAACTCAAACTACACTCCTTCAGTGTTTTGGTAAGACTGCAGCTGAATCTCATGCCGCTCCGGGTGACACCGCAGCTACAGCAGAAGACACAAACATTAAAGTTACTGAAACTACAGAAAACGAGCCAGATGAGGCCAATGTTATCTTAACGTTACCTGGTGAGTGAAAGCAGCATATACGTTTTCATTACTGGAACTGTAACAGCATTGTTGGTATATTGAATTGCATCTATTATTAGTTAACTTAAATAACGTTAATGTTGTGGATCAATGAATGCAGGATACAGTGTGTGTGTGTGTGTGTACAGTGGTAGAAGTTGCAGTTCCAGGATGCTTGCTCTTGCATTTAAGCTGATACAGGTTACATAACCTTGACAATGGTTTTGGAAGATAAGTGTGCTTGAGATGATGTGGATCACTTTTTGTGTCCTGGCTGTTCATAATATTCTGTAATGTATGAGTTTTGGTGATAGAACTGCACATAGGCCTATGTTCATTTTTATTACTGCTACTGAGCTTCAAGCCCCCCTCCAGCCAGTTTTAACTGCCGTTTTTGGTGAACGTTCTTTCTCAAACAGAGAATGGGGGTGTGGTTAATAGTCGGACGTAATACATTACCATGACAACCAAAAACTGATCGGCTGGAGTGTTCACTAACGATTTGCAATACCTATGCTAGCTAACTACACCTGGCTAACTATAACTTAGTTAACTTAACGTTAGCTAACTAAACTAGAAAGACAAACCAACAATCAGACGCAGAGAAACATACTGTAAGTTCTAAGTAAATTACATGATAAATTGGTTAGTTAGCTCAGAAAGATGTTTATCGGTTTGATACTCTGACTTAACGAGGCGTGATAGTTTTTTAACGAGGCATGACAGTGCGCCTGTGCCAGCTTGGAGAATGACGTATGACTTATGGAATTACTATAGTCATACGTCACCACCCCGTTTTAACAACTAAGCAATTTTCGCAACTTTGAGCACAAAATTAAGCTATTTGTCAAAAAATATTTGTCAAAGTATGCGGGTAATCAACATTGTAAGGAAATAACTCATAAATGAAATATCATAGACATGTCAAAATACACTGGAGGGGGGCTTTCAGTCTTCCATTATTGTTAATAATAGTTGCAACTTACACTCTTAAATGTGCATTGAAAATTGCAAGCAGATAAAACCAGATTCATATAACATCAAAGGTTTCATGCAGCTCCTAACTGAAGCTGAGTTAGATGGTGAGTAACACTAAACTTTAGAAAATCAGTCTATTCTCACCACCTGCAGAGGTGTCATTTACACTGGGGATGCTGGGGATATGTCTCCATCACTTTTTGAAAGCATTTGTTAAAATGCTTGTTCTGAAAAATAGCTTACAACAAGAAATGTTAAATAACAAATGTATGTGCTATGAGAAAGTTTTTTTGGCACAATAAGAAAACATGCAACGCAAAAAAACAGAACTGCATAGTCCAAAAAACAATTACTTACGTAAAGGAAAAAAAAACATTACTGATTGTTGCATTATATTACTATATTCTGAATTGACACCTGCCACCTGAACTTTGTTCACTTTGTATAAATAAAGACATTTCCACCATAAATTGGTGCAAAACTGTCACCAGAACGCAGGAAATTAAGTGTTTAATGCTCAAAATCTTATCTCCTCCAGACCCCCAATGGTATATTTCATCAAGGAATATTTCTTTAAATAGTAAAATATCTTCTAGTCTTGTTCTCATGACCCCAATATTCTGGATTGTCACGTCTCGTATGCTAAGTGTTTTTTCACAACTCTAATCTGAGCCCTAAAATGTCCCCACCACTTTTCAACACAAAGTGACGCCCACCTGTAACCGTCATTGGCTGTTAAAGACTTTGCAGTGTTGATAACACACAGCCTAAGCAGTCCATCAGAATCTCTATTACGTACATGCATACTGTATATATTAGTGAGTGTAGTGGTGCTTACACTTCGTTCTAGGATGGGTCGCTCTGGGACGTGAGTATGAGGCTGCCAGACCAGACTACACCACTGAATGATGTCATATTGTAGACAGTGGATCCCAAGTTATTCAGAAAGAGAGGCTCTCTTCCATGAGTCATGGTAAAAAATCTCAGTGCAGTTGACATAATGGCTTGGACTGACGAAGCTGACAGAGCTTTCAATGACTTAAAGGGCTATTTACAGTCTGCACTACTCAGGAACTACTAGAACCTGACCTACCTTTCTACTCAGTTTGGTGAACAAAAGGACAGTT